AAAGTACTCTAAACTGTATAAATAATGTAAAATTAAATTGAATTTATTAGCCAATCAGACAAACTTCTGCCTATGAAGGCTCCAACCTCTAAAAAATTTGATTATGTATATCGCAGATCAAATTTCCAGGGGTGTTACAGATGGAAATGCCAAAACTACGTTTTTGATATTTTTATTATAGAAGCATCAAAATCATAATTTCAGTCATCAAAGCGCATAGAAATGAGTCCTCCGCTTCGCTCAGAACAATTAAATTTATAAATTAAAAACAATGCAGTTTCCCTCTTTATAATTGTCTCCCATATAATCACATCATATACCGTATCGTCGCCCCGGGGACGTTATTTCGAGACAAAAATTTTAAAACGAGATTTTTTTTAAACTTTACTATTAAATAAATATTGTTTAAAAAAAATCTTCGGCAAAATTAATTATTAACTCGTTTTATCTCGAAATAACGCTCCGGGGCGTTATTCGCGACGATACGGTAAAGACCTTTTTATAATCATATCTCTATTTGAGCCCGATTACTATTTTAAAATATATAAAAAACAAACCTCTATATAAGCGCATCATTTTATAAGTACTTTTTTTTAAAAAAAATTACTATGGTCCCAACTGTGTGATTATAAAGAGGTATTACTGTATTTATATAATTTAGTATATAATAATTTTAATAAAAATATTAGCAAACCTGTCTAAAAATTAAAAAATATAGGTGAAGCCCTATGTTATGGTAAGGGTAGGTATCAGCGGCATTATAATTATTTTGATTTGACGCATTCATAATAAGATTATCCAAAACGTAACTTTGAAATTTCTGCCTGTCGGCCACGCGCATATTTGTGTAACACAACAAATATCGTGATAAGTTAAATTAAGAAAAATATTTAGAAAAATATATTTATATACGTATAAGAGTACGCGGTTATATAATACAGTCAGACCTCTATAGACACCTCCTCTATAGTCACATTTGCTTATAATCACATAAATTTTTAAAACAACTTATATAATATTTATAAAATTTAATCTCTATATAAGCAAAGTACCAAATTCTTAAAACCAAGGGTGTGGTTATAGAAAGGTTTGACTGTATTTTTTATTTAAGTTAAAGTATATATATACAGTATGTAGTAAACAATTATCCGAATTCAGTTTAGATAATTGTAGCTTAAATATAACAACTTCAGTAATAATAAACCAGGTTGTAATAAGGTTATAAATCTAATAAAAGTATTAATGACAAAGTAAATTAGTTTCAAAAAAAATTATTATTTAAATCTTATATTTTAAATTTAAAAAATTTTTATTACAGTATTAAAAATTAATTTTTTTTTAAAAAAATAATATATTAAAATAATAATAATAATAAAGTTTGTAATATTTAAAAACTATACGAATTTAAAAGCTGATAACTTTATTTTGTATACTAAAGTATATAGTATATTAATATAAATACCTATAATACTTAAAATTTTATGTATGAAACTATCTTTGATGTTTTAACAAAAAAGATTTATTGCAAAATTTTGTGCAAGTTACATTTAACCCTAATCTTAAACCCTAATCTAATTTATATTTAGAGGATTCCTATTTGTACTCTATGGGTATGACACCCGGTATAAGAAAAAAATCAAATATTTCAAATTTTTATTAGGAAAACCGATGTAAATATCTTGAAAAATGGTCAGCACCTAATTTTACATATAAATACTCCTTTAACTCCAACCCACCTAACTTACTCTAACTTAATATATAGTATATTTTTTCTTATACCGGGTACCATATCTATAGGTATTTTTAGAAATTTCAAAATTATATTTTATAAATTTTAAATATAAGTACTTTATATAAATCAATACAGTAGTATATATATAATTTATTAATTTACAATAATATCAATATAATTATATTAAATAATATATATACGTATAATGGGATTGATTTGATGTAAGCCTTTTAAAACGATTTGTTTTTACAATAAATTGTATATAGTGAATAAATATACAGTATATACTATATTTTATAAATTATATATTGTGTAAAGTAATTGTATATGGATATTAAACACCTTATAAGTACGTATGTACGCATATTTAAAAGGCAATTATAGACCAGAAGGTATGATTATAAAGAGGGACAAAACAATTAGTAACTGAATATTTTGCACATAATTTACAATTTGTTTAAACTAGGTACAATTGTAAATTTTGTGCAAAACTAACAATTGATACACAACATTAATCATTTAACACGTATATCGATGTGCGTATATTGGACAATAAGCAAATGAAAATCTTATCGGTTGTTAGAATAAAATTTATGAATATTATTTATTTTTTTTTTTATTCATAATTATTCATCAAAATTCGCATTATTGATAATTCAAACCGTATAAAGGCAATGTATAAGAAGAAAATATGGTCACGGATAATCCCGGAACATTCTGTAATAGAAAGAAATGAATCCTAATTGGTTTTGTGCATTAGATATTTTCATTTAGTCAAATAACAGAGATTACGTATAAATTTAATTGAATCATACATAAATAAGTTGGTTGCAAATGGTAAGAATCAAAACACCGAATTTTAATAAATATTATAAAAAATGTGCTTTTTATTTCAATGTTTACTTGCCTATCACAGCATACTTGTAGTAGGGACGTGACATGATTTTCTATATATTTGTATTGAATAAAATACTCGCGTTTATATTATGCAAGAGACCAAATAACTCAATTTAAGACTTAAAAGATTGCAAGCGCCCAAATTTGTTTCCATTAAAATCACCATAAAAGTTACCATACATACTGTAATTCAGCACTAGACTCTATTAGACTACTACTATACCTATGACCAAATAGCATATATGTATATAAAAGATTGATTTAAGGAGCAACATACTGTATGTAATTAGTATATTATTATTGTGCTAACGCAGCAAGAAAAAAAAGATGATATAAAAAAAAAAAATTTTTTTTTTTTATCTTGGAAAATATTTTCTTCAGAAACTTTTTCGAGAAAAATATATAAATATATATTCAAAATTTCTTAAAAATTCTTTGATGATAATTTTTTTCAAAACTAAAATTTTATAAAATATAAACCATTTCTTTTATCCTACGACTTAAATAACATGTCTCAACAAAACATAAACAGTTACGATTATAATTATGATTTTAAACAACAAACATACCCTTCAAACACTTATTCTACGTTTATTCCAACAGAAACAAATTTTACTCAACAATCTCTTTACGCGTCAAATTATCCAATTTATAACGATTATGACCATATTTCTATGGGTCATTTTGGGAATACACTTATAGACGATGGAGTGATTTCCATAAATACAGATTATTTGAATCATTCAAATCCATCAATTCAAAAGTTAAATGGAACTTCAAATTGTGCACAAATTAACAATAATTATTGTTCGTGCAATAAATTAATACCATGTGAAAAGTTTGAAAATGATCAAGTAGAATATGCAACATCTGAGTCATATCCTGAATCATATCGATATTCACAAACTTTTGAACAAAATGAAGGAATACCATCACCATGCAATTCTTTAGTCCTTTGCCAATCTCAGAACAATCCAATATTCTCAGCACCCTTAACCACTATTATTCATCAACAACCTATAAATCCAATTGAATCCCTAACAGAAGAACAAAACAACGATCATATTTCCTCAAAATACTCTATCAAAAAGACTTCTACAATGATAATTCAATTGGAAACATCACCTGAAACCCTAAAAAAATATGAGACGTGCGAAGAATATGTAATATACTATGAAAAACGATGTCAAGTTCATGAAGATGGCGAAATGGAGACTTTTGAAGAGCAAGTGATTAAAATGGATAAAAGAGTGAAAGTTGAAGTTCTTAATGTTAATAGAAGTATTGAAATTTGAGAATAAATGTGCAATATTAATACTAATAATAATGAAATTCTTTTAAATATGTATTTTTTTTGGACTGTATTCAGATTTTGGTTCTTATTAGAAATCTGATGTAAAAAAAAAAAAAATTATCTTCATTGATATAAAAAAAAAAGTCGCGTTTTTTTTTAAAAAAAAAACATCGCGGGAATTTATAACATTTTTATGAATTTTATGCTTGCATATTTTCATACATAAATTTCAATCAATTGAAAATATCTTTGGCTATATGCTACAAGTAATGTCTAAACTCCAGAGAAATCTTGAACGAATGTCTAAATACTGGAGAAATTTTGACAAACGTCTAAATCCTGGAGAAATTTTAACACAAAGTCGCGAAGTAACATTTTCTTATTAATGATTAATGTATATGTATGTATCAGAAAATAGTATTATTAGGTATCATGTGTGTAACTATAGCTGTATCGATGATTGGACCAAGTTTTTTTTTCAACAATCACATGATATTTATTAAGAAACAAACAGCATTTTGAAGCATTTTCTGAAGCATTTTCTGAAGCAATTTTCTGAAGCACTTTCTGAAGCATGTTCTGAAGCATTTTCCGAAGCATTTTCTGAAGTATTTTCTGATGTAGAAAACAATTTTACGCATTGAGTAATCTAAAGATTGTATTCGTGGAGAACGTTTCTATCCAGGTACTATTAAATTATTAAATTAATCGAGTTGCTAGGGTAATTTACTATAGCCATATAATAATTTCCACCTCGGTACAATCTAGGTACATTCCCTAAAGTAGTTATATAGAATCCAATTCCGAATGCGATTTGCATCATCCATATGGTGGGGTTCTTTTTCATAATAGTTCTGAACTCTATTTTTTCATCTGATCAAAAAGCTATTTAATAGAATCTAAGAATGCTCTTCGAGTTGGTCTATATGCAAAGCGTGATTATTTTGGAAAAATTTGGTAGCACCAATGTTTCAAATTCAATCCAAACCCACGAGCAACCGCCTCGTATGATTTCTTAAAGTTAAATTTATTTCTCATTTCAATGTAATTATAATTATAAAAAGTATATTATACATGATATTTCAGAAATAATAAAATGTTGGAGACTTGTATGACATATGAGGCTTGTTTGGCAAAGATTGTGGTAAAGATTGGTCAAAGTAAGCACAAATAAGTTATGTTCAGACCTCTTTTAGTCTTTTAAAGTCTTTTAAAGTCTTTTAAAGTCTTTTAAAAGTTATTTAAAGGACAACACTTAGTGCAAGGTTATGTGCGAGGTAGGGGCACTAACCTGATAATAAAACCCATTCTTAAAGATATTTGACCAAGTCACTGACGTCATGCCTCTGGCGAGTTGCCTTGTCTCCGTTTAACTCCGTAACATTGGTGGTAACAATGTTTCTTCCTAGTTTAGCTAGTAACGCAAGTAGTTTTGTATAACATAAACAAACCTTTGTCATATAACTATATTAAAATCTATGAAACAGATTCGGGTCATACCGGTCTCTTTAACATCTCCGTTCATGTTTTCAAACTTTAAGAAATCTGTATATTCGTGATAAACCTATTTTATATATCAGATATATCAAAATTAAAATACGTACTTTTTTTGATTAATAAAAGTGTACCAAAATTTAGGTGGCGCAAAAGAACCGAATTCTGTTTAGCATATACGAATTATAAATATGTATAAATAATACAGTGTTATGTAAGATTATATGTATTTATACTTTAAGTTGCAATTCAATTTATATTAAATATATGCATTATTTTATACGAATAGTATCTTCTTAATATAGTTTTTCCGTCTCCTCGATTCTTCTTCATATTGCTGTACTGCAAC